TGGGCAGAAGCCATACCCCTCTCATGGGATATTCAGGTGAGATTAGCAGCTCTCCTGCTTGCAATTCTTCCATTATTTCACTAAACATACTTTATTTTTATTGTATGTTAAGATACTGAAATGCACTCAAAACACAAACCAGAATGTATTTTGTACTCCTGAGGTATTGCTGCCAACAGGAAAATACTACAGACACTGAGTAGATGTTTTGGTATTGCATCCTTGTGTCACTTGCTTTGTACTCCTGTGTAAATTAGCAATGCAGTTAGAATTCAGACTTTTGTCAGATTGTCCAGAATTGAATCACATTTGTGGACATATGTGTTTGTGTGGTCACTGAACTGAAGAGTCAAAATTCATGCATACCTCCAAGCAGGACTTATTTTTAGGCTTCTAGTGCAGTGGACATCACATGCAATGTAATTCTCAAGTTTCTTGATGCAAGTTTTATGCATTTTATATTGGCATCTTCAGAGATGTGGAAGACTAGTTCTTCAGAACATGCAGTGGCTCACTGCTGGTACATTTTGCAGTGCTTCATGTGCACAAATTTGTGTTTCAGTGTAATGATATGTGCATCTGTGTGTTCTGGCAGCACAAACTTAATGAAATTTAAAGTTGATTCTTTCGCTGACTAACCATTATCAGTTCAGTCTTTAGCGTTCTTAAGGCATACATATGTCTGTGTGTTTGTTTATCCTCCCTCTGTTTGTGATACTCCTTCATCAATCTTCCACTGATCTGCATTGGATGTCACTGAATATATGCGACTGTTTTACAGTTACATCCTCATCTACAGCCTCTACCCATACCGTTGCATCAGTGATTGTAGCTGTGGTTGAAGGAAGAGGCCTTGCCAGAGGTGAGGTGGGCATGGCCAGTATCGACTTAAAGAATCCTGAGATGATACTGTCACAATTTGCAGATAACACAACTTATGCTAAGGTATTTTACAGACTAATTATTGTGACTTACTTTCTTGACATATGAATTTAACTCATTAGTGCAGAAGTTATCAGAAAGTGTGGTCTTGATTTACAAGACTGGAACTGATTTTAAAATATAAGGGTTCTGTAATTCTTTATTGCTGGTTCGCTATTGTCCAGAATATTTTACATTACACATGCTTTTTTTATTGAATTTTTTTGAATTTTTTTTGTTCAGGTTATTACTAAACTCAAGATTTTAATGCCACTAGAAATAATAATGTCAAACACTGCTTGTGATGCAGGGAACACAACAAAATTGTTCAGTCTGATAACAGAGCACTTCAAGGTAAGATCTTAAATTGCATTCTTGTTGGTGATCACTTCTGTATGATTGTTGATTTGAGAGCTCTACACAACTTTTAAAACCTTAAGTGCAGACAGATTTTCTGTTTTCTATGGTTTTGGGGCCTAGTTTTACCATAGTAAAGAATAATCTAATTGCTGCTCCCATGCTGCTACTTCTAATCCTGACAATTACAGAGATAAGTGTATTCCTGATTAAAGCTGTAAGTTTTGAATTTGTGGCACTGGGTAACTTGAGCAATCCTGAACCTAGGAAATAAAGCATTTTCCTTTGCTTCTCCCTTGTTCTCTCTTCCTGATAAATCGATGAGACTAATGCGTTACAGAATAGGAAAAAGAGCACAAATAAAAGGTGGGGTAAAAGAGGGTGAGGTAAACTAGTGTATGTAACGTATCAGTATTGAAGCATCAGAACCTTAAAAAACCCCTCTATTAATTACTACCCAAATTGCTTCATGCCTACACTGCTGATGTCTTCATGAGTCCTTTTCTACTTCCTGACTTCTCTTTTTCTCTTATAAATCCTTTTCACATCACGCACGTTAACACTGCACTGCTTGTGCTAGTGAGCTAGAATGAGTACTGTGGAAGCAGATGATTGCAGAATCAGTTGATAGATTTTCTTGGAAGCACAAAATGGAGAAGTCTGACTGATGTAACTTTTAAAACTTTCGTCCCCATCTTCACAGAACGTGACTTTTACAACTGTCCAAAGGAAATACTTCAATGAAACAAAGGGTTTGGAATACATAGAACAATTGTGTGTGTCTGAATTCAGCACCATTTTCATGGAGGTTCAGTCAAAGTATGTTTAAATAAGGAAAAGCATACTGTGTCCAGATAAGTTTTTAACAGCTTTTTATGTACTCACTACACAAGTCTGTGTCTTGTTGCAAAAGTTAGAAAATCACAGCAGAGCTGTCCTTTTATTTTACCCTCCAGTGTTTCTGATATATCCAGAAGTTTAAATAGAAAGCCTATTACAGAGTTGGGTGGTGTTTTGAGTTTTCACAGCTTCCCACTTTCTTCTTTTCATTCTTAAAGATACAATTTAAGAGGTATGGTTGCCTTTCTTTCTGACCTCAGCAAACGTTTTCCTTGTACCAGCAATTTGAAGTAGTGATACTTGGTGACCAGGGTCTTCAGGTCACATGTAACTGCTGAAATATGTATGTTCACAATGCCAGCTCTGTAGTGTAGGGTGTCAAGCATACAGAGACTCAAACATTGGTGAACAGTTGATTTGCATGAATGTATGTTTACTGTACATGGGATAGTGCACATGTTAATACACTGTATTTCAGTGCTACCTATCCCAGTAGCTGCCAAGCAGAAGTGTGAATGTTGTTTCTGTAGCGCATTGCTTTTGTGGTACTTCAACAGCACTATTCAGCATTCATTAAAGATTGTTTCTTTCCAAGGTATTACTGTCTTGCAGCTGCTGCAGCTTTGCTAAAATATGTTGAATTTATTCAAAATTCCGTTTATGCTCCCAAGTCACTCAAAGTGCGTTTCCAGGGGAGTGAGAAGACAGCAATGATAGATTCCTCATCAGCACAAAATCTTGAACTAGTCATTAACAACAGAGATGCTCGGTAAGGATAGTTTTTCCAAATAATGCTCTTATGAAGTTGTATTTCACTGAGGTTCCTGGACATTTGTGTCAAAGAGCTGACCATTGTATTTATTTCTGTATGACAGAACTTACCATTCAGAACTTTGAAAAATTATATTTTGACAGAGAAATATGTTACAATTCAGCACAAAATTTCTAGCATGGCAAATCCTACAAGTGAATTGTGGGAGTAGATGATACATAGTCATCTTTACGTTGATGTGTATATTTTTTTCATACTTTAGAATGATGTTTATGCAAAATTTCACAGATCGTGAAATAAAGGAGGCAACATTCCACAAGAAGTTTCTATTAAAATGCCTATGTTGTATTCATTTTACACAAGATAAGTGCTCCAGGCTTGAAAGGTTGTTTTGTTTTCCTTTGTCTCTAAGGAACCGTGGCAAAGTAAACAATTTCTGTAATGATGGTAATGTGCAGTGTGGTACTTGATTGCATGATACTGACTTTTGGAGCACAGCCTTCATCAGGAGTTACTTGCCTTCTAGGCAGACAAAACTTGAAGGCTTCCCTTCTCCAGACTGTTACATGTCTGGTTAGCAAGAAAAATACCTGGAACTTGTGCTTTGCTGCTTGCCAAGTTCTGAGATCCACCTCTGTTTAGAAGTCCACTTATCACCCTGACATAAAAAGGGGAGCCTGGAGATTCCTCACTCTCCTAGTATTACTCGTAAGATCTTTCCCCTTGGGGAGATGTTATAGAACTATATAATGTCTTGGATTGGAAGGGGCCTTGAAAGATCATTTAGTTCCAACCTCCTTGCTGTGGGCAGGGACATCTTTGACTAGATCAGTTGTCCTTACCCTTCTGCCACTGCTCTTTTTTCTTTTTCCTTTTCTCTTGGTTAAGTTTTTGTGAGGATCATGTAGTACACAGTTAAATCTGTTTTCAGGAGTGGGAGTTAACTACAGTTTCTTTCTGTTCATCTGTCATGCTTTGCCCCCAGTTTCTTCCTGCTTGTTCTGTCACTTCTCTTGTAACCCCAGGAATTAGCCACTCCAAGACTGGTGCTTTTGGAGCAGTATTTTTCTGAAAGCCACTCCCTGTTTTTTGAGAGGAAGGAGGTCACAGGAAGAACTGAGCAACAGTGAACTGCTTTAAATTACTTGGGGTTTTTTTTAGCATCGTTGCTGCAGAATTTTTGCTGATCCAATGGCAAGTTTGAGTCAGCCACACACAGCTATTTCTGTTACATAGATCTTACCCCTGAAGCCTGATTGATCCCTTTATATCAGATATTAACAGGTGAAAGTTAATTGCACAGATACACATTAGAAACACCTAAATCAAATTTTTGTGCCAGTCTTAATTCTGGAGAGGCTTGTCTCCCTTGATTTACTCTACAGGGAAATCAGTCCTTAGTTGTTTGCCTTGTTGTAGGCACTGCGGATATTATCCCAAATGTGGAGTTCACGTTAAGTGTTGTCATGAGTTGCATCTTATGGTAAATATGTCCTTACTAAAACTGGTTTTGAATTTCCCTTTCTTTTAAATTCTCTTGACTATTGCTTTGTTCTTTTATACCATGGTATTTCAGGAGTTTCTGCACTATCTATCTGTCTGTCTATCTAATCTGTCTTCCTGGTGTTTGTTTTGTATACTTTTACCAGATTTCTTCCTATTCAAGTTCCTGTTTATATCATGATGCTAATATGGGCCCAGTATTTTCATTTGCCTTCTTCCAGCCAATTAGCATTGAAGGTTTCAGGTTTCTAAAGTTGTTTATCTGTGTACTAGGTGTAAATATTATAGGTGCTTATTTTACACAGATACAATCAACCCAGGGATGTGCAACATGTAAAAGCCATAAACACAAAAATAATATTTATAAATCATAAGCATGTTATTTTGTTCCTTAATTGACTGTAAATCAGTTCTTGTAAAAAATAAAATCAAAGCTTATTTCTCTTTTGGCCTCTAAGTATTTTAAATTATTTTCAGAAATGTATTTCAATGAAAATGTTCTGTAAGTATTTGATCTCTGATAATAATTTGTCTCCTTTTGTAGGGGTTGGTTTGCTCATTTTTATTAGTTTAATTGAGAGAAAAAAATGTGAACTATACCACTGCTGTGGAATACTACTACAAAACATGAGGAAAATACAAATATGTTTCTGTACTTTGGAACATTATATAATTGAGGGCTAATATGATACTAAATTACAGTATATCAAATCACCTGACTTCCTGAACTGCTGTAGTTAATGTAATACATGTGGCAAACAGGGAGAGGCTGAGCATCCAAAAGACATGCCTCACATCTGTAAGACACTTTTACCTGAAAATTTCCCTTGACATTTGCCATCTCTTGTTTTGGTGAGTGTATTCTTCACATTTGTTTTGTTTTCAAAGGAATGGTCACACACTTCTTGGTGTCCTAAATTACACTAAAACTCCAGGTGGAAGTCGAAGACTCAGATCCAACATCCTGGAACCACTAGCTGATGCTGGAACAATTAACACAAGACTGGACTGTGTTCAGGAATTACTCCAGGATGCAGAGCTCTTTTTTGGTCTTCAAGCAGGTAGCAGTCTGTTTTCTAATACATAATATTATATTTCTTTTTAAACATTCTTTCTAATGTGTGAAGTATATATTGTGACTCAGGATGTTTCAAGAGAAGTTTTTAATGTTTTGTCAGGTGACATAGTAGACCCAACCTTTTTTGAAGTAATTTATATTATCACAGTGGTATGTTTCTCAAGTATTTTGCTAAGTAAAGTGAATTTCTCTGATAAAGTGAGTGGAAGTCAGTGAGGCAATAGCTTTTACAAAAAATTTGAGTTTGTCTCTTTACCTCCATGTCTGGATATCCACTATGTTTGATGTATACAAGTATACATAATGTATACATTAAAAAACAAAGACATTGCTGAAGTAATGCTTGTGAATGCATAATTTTTCCTATTGCTTCATAAAACATAGTGGTCCAGAGAAACGTGAAATACAGTACCAGAGTATGAGTTAGTCCATGTGAGGCTGGATCATGTGATCTTAATCTGTATAACAAGAGAAATAGGATTTGATCTAAGAAAAAGAACATTTCTGAATTGACAGATGTCTATCTATACAATAATCACTACATGCTTAGGTATAGTGAGCATAGTTGCAACAAAATAATTGAGATAGCAGCTATTTTTAACCTAGGTTTTACTCAGTAAATAATTTGTAAAGATAGACTGTAAGAAAAAGATTAGCATATAAGTATCACTAAGTAATTGTGTGCATTAAACCCCCCAGTTTTTATTGCAATTTCAGTTCAGTTTCTGACGTGTTTACTTTTGTTTTGCAGTTATCTCAAAATTCCTGGATACGGAACAACTGCTTTCAGTTTTGGTGCAAATTCCAAAGCAGGATACAGTATGTTTCAAAATACACCTTAGATAGTCAGTTCTCTGGCTATAACCTGCAGTATATCAACGTGATCTCTATAAATAGCCATGATACCTTAAGAAAAATCTGCATCTTACAAAGACATGGAATAATGTTATTGTGCATTGAGATTATATCTTATTTTAGAGCAGTAGATGATTCTTGTAGCAGAATGCTAGAGAAATTCAGGTTTGATTCAATATCACATTCGTCTTAATTTATGCAAATGTACTTCCAAAAATGTTTACTTTTTGATCACTCCCCACCTTTATTCTTCATAATATCCTATTCAACAGTACTTAGATGAGAGAGGAATTTTCTTCACATCAACATAAATGGAGAGTGATAGTGACTTAGAGTCCTTGTGACTGTTATGTCTCAAAGCAAGATGATTTTTTTCATCAGACCTTGTCTCCTATATCAGTCTGTATGTTAACATGTGCAATACAAATATCAAAATAGACTAAATCCATGTAGCTCACTACTGCATCTTGTTTGAGATCAGACAGGATAGTTAACCACAGTGAGCTTGAGACAGGACCAGTTGCTCTGGATTACTTGATTACCCATCTGAAGAACAAATTCAGTAGATTTTGTGCCTGATGAAGTTCCAGGTGTGTGACAGATTGATTCCTTCTCTGACAGGGAGAAGGTGGCAGTACTTTAAGTTCAAATAAACTGCCTGGAAAAATGAAAGTTAAAAAAGGGCTGATCTACTGACAGTAGATTTAAATCTGTAGGATTTAAGACTCTAAACAGCCAACTACTTCTCTGAATTGTCTTGCTTTACGTACCCAAGTGACTCTGGACAAACTAATTTCAGACACCATAAAGGGTAGACTTGCATTTCAGTCATGAATTAATCATAAGGAAGTGACATTATATGGAAGAGTTATTTACTATGGTTGTATTAATTTGTTTTCTCCCTTTGGTCTTAAGAGCAGCATGGATAAAGATTCACTTTCAACACCAGTTCATTTAAAGTTCCTGTAAGAACTAATTAAGCAGAGATACATTCCACCGCGAAATACCAACTTTTCACGTATAACACATCTGCCCTTTTGGTGTCTGATTCCATCATGGGGTTTAGACCCCATATTTGTTTGGGGATTATCATTCTCCTGTTCATGAATGTAGCATTATTTAGTTCTGTCTTTTACAGAAAACAACTTTATATAGAATGTAAGATCATACATGAGATGCCCTCAGTCACAGGAGTAAAGAGATATTATCTATGAATGAGAAAAGACTTCACATGGGGTCATACTCCTATGTTCATGTGCTTATATCTGTGTTAGTTCCTTAAGATCTTCTTGCACAGTGCACATGTACTGCACACGCTATGCCTTAATATCAGCAGCAAAATTCTTCATCGTGTTGATGGGGCATACCAAACAAGGTGGAATGTGTATGTGGAGGAAAGGTTTTGAAGAGCCGTCATTATTGTAAGCAAAATTCTGAAATATTTACTGGAATTTTTATTATTACAAGGGCAGATGTTTAAGGATGTAAATACATTAACCAAAGGTAAGTCAACCAAATTGGGTTGTGTCGTGTTTAACAGCATTGGTGACAAAGGCTATGTGCTTCATTACAATGCATAATGTATTTGCTTTGAAAAAGTCTACGGCCTGTGTAGAGCTGGTGTAGAGTTAGGTATACATAGAAGATGAAAAGAAGTTTTCACAGCCTGGGTTATCAGGGTGTTCTCAGAGTCACTCATTATCCGTGCAGACATACGAAAGTTTTAGCAAATTATGACAGTAGGCAACGTAAAATTTAGGCAAACAGGTTTTTCGTGCAGCTACACATGAAGATGGCAAAGTGGTCTTAGGAAGAATTGTAGGAATTTTCATTCAGTGTATAAACCTGTTAAGAATATGAGTTCTGCTAGTTCTTAAGTACTTTTTTAAACAGACATATAAATGCCTCCAATATTTGGAAAATTTTTCAACAGGTTAAAACTGCTGAATCAAAAATAACTAATTTAATCTACCTGAAGCATACTTTAGAACTCGTGGAGCCTCTGAAAGTAAGCATTGTCCCTTTTTCTAAATACAGACTATTTTGTCCATATTTTTATAAAGTGCAGTTTGTTACATTTCATAGAATACAGAACAGTTGGTCAAGTTGGGAGAGACTGATAAAGAAAAAAAACTGTTTTGCAGAAGATATTACTGTCAGCATAGTCTGTTAATTCCTAAGCCTATTGAACATATGCATATGCATTGAACATATCCAAAGAGCTGATTCTTACCCTTACCTGAATAACTGATTTTGTAATAAAAGTTTAACTGAAACTCCTGCTTAGATTCTGAAAGCTACTTATGCAACTGCTGATAAGCCTCAGTAAGAACTTTCAGCCCTTAAAAAAGCTACAAAAAGCAGTAATTGTTCATGTCCCCATTCTAATCACCACAGGCTGCTTTAAGAAGCTGTAACACACCGTTGCTAAAGGCTTATTGCAATTCTCTTGAGGATACAAGGTATTTATGATAATACTTCAGATAGCATGTCAGGAACCCTGATCTCAAAACTGCTTGTAAGATTAAAGATGTTGCATCTTGGCTTATTTGTAGTTACAGGTATAGCTCAATTCTTTTGCCCTTAGAACTTATTTTCATTGTCAGAAATTGTACTTTTCAAATAACAAATACATGGAAAAAAGCAAAAGAATTATCTATGATACTGCAACTGCTGCTGAACTGAACTCCATTAGAAATAATTCTGAAAAGACAGGAGTAGTGGTTTCCTTGAGTCCCCACAATAATGCAAAAATCAACTGTTGCCTGTATATTTGAGAAATAATTGTTATCTCCCAAAGATGTAAGTAGTATCTTTGGTCAGACTTGGGTATTGTCACACTTCATTCTGAGATGAAAATAGACATGAAATTTAGTGTTTTGTTTTAACAGTAGATAATTAGCTTCACTTATTTGTAACAGTCTTACTTGTAATTGGGGGATGATCTTGCAAGTAAAAAAAACCGTAAAGTATTATGCATCTAATCAATGATATAACTAATTTTGCAGATTTGGAATTATACTTGAAAAGATTACAACTGTAATTAACGATGATACAAGGTACACAAAAGGATCTCTGAGTATGAGGACCCAGAAATGCTATGCTGTTAAGCCTAACATCAGTGAATTCCTTGACATAGCCCGTCGAACATACACAGAAATTGTTGATGACATAGCAGGTAATTCTGAACTAAAACTTTCATTTATTTGGAATTCAAAGTACATTGCACCTGGCCTGTAGAAGCTGTGTAATCATGTGTGTTACAGCCTTTTCATACGTAAAAAGTATTTAGTATTAGTATAAACTGGTTGTCATTGGTAAGTAACTGAAGTTCTTTTGAGACACTTGCTGAGATTCTCCTTTTGTAGATAAAAACTCAGTTTTATCGTAATGAAGTTGAACAATTGTATTGTGATTCCTATATTTAAAGCTCTGTTGCCCCTTATTCTCTAAAAGTACAAGAAAGGTGAAGTAATGCAGCAGAACTAGTCCACCTAAAACATTCTGCATAAAACATGTAAGTCTTCGGTTTAGCTTCTGGATTTAAAATATCTGAGTTCTTAGTTCCTTATATTTTAAGCAGTCTTGATCATCATGAATGTAAATAACTAATTTGGGCTAAATCTTTATGTGTGCTGTAGGTATGATATCACAACTGGCAGAAAAGTACAACCTACCAATGAAAACAAGTTTCAGCTCTGCCCGTGGCTTTTTTATCCAGATGAATGCTGATTGTTCCACATTGCCCAATGGCCAGCTTCCTTCAGAATTCACAAAGGTATCTGCACAAGATATGCTTTTTCATAATATTTAATGTATGTAAAATGAATAATACATAAAAAGTACACATTATACAGTAAACAACAGTTAAGATAATTTCAGAAAAGATACGTAGAAGTAAATGAAGGTTTAATTGGTATGTTTTTTATGACTGCTCTATTTCGTAATCCTTAATATGGTCAGAATTGTGCCATTACATGCAGTTATGTTGTGTATACATATAAAGTTGTATATCTTGCTGGTAACTGTTATCTTACATGTATTTTTCATAAACATTTATGTGATGAAAATGAAACCAGACACTGTTTTTTTTCTCCTTCCCCCCCTTGTAATGTTCCCAGTTTTTATTTTAGAAACTGTTTTTGTTTCTGATAATAAGGCAAGTTCTTATTGTTGGTTTCAATTCCTTGTAGATCACTAAAATGAAAAACACATATAGCTTCACTTCAGCAGATTTAATAAAAATGAATGAAAGATGTCAGGAGTCCCTGAGAGAAATATATCACATGACCTACTTGTAAGACCTGTTAAAACTATTCAATATTTCCTCCAATTAAAAGCTAGCTACAGTTTTTTTGAAAGCTATCTTTCTGTTAAGTTATGGTTACTTACAGGAATAGTGCAAAGCTGTTCAAGTCTGCCTCCTGAGACAAAGACAACATGTAAAATGTGTGTGGTATTAAACATGATTGCAAATAATAGGCATTTATTGATGAGGGTGCTCATATTAATTTGTCATGGGTGGATGAGCTACACAAAATGACACAATGAATGCATCAGTTTTGCATTAGTAATGCAGAATTGTTATTTTAATCAGTTCCGTGTTTAGAGCACAACTAATTATTTCTGTATCTTGTCCTTGCTGTATGTCATGCTCCTCTGCTGTCTGTTTCAGAGAATTACCAAGTGTAATGTTGCCCATCAATTTAATGGAAATTCTTTCTAGCAGCCATGTAGGGTTTTTATTTACATGAAGGTCTAAGGGAGTCAGAATCACATTTCACACGTTAATAAAACAAACTTGATTCCATAGCTATATTTTTAGTTCATTCTCTTTGCGAAGCTTTCGGATGAGCTATTGGTGTTTGAGATATGTGTCTTGTGTCTGATAGGAGAATGTGATCTGAGATGGCAGTGTGCATTTAAGAAGTTTATACATTGGCAGACATGAGTGTATCGTACGAGTGACCTCCTATGCTACTGTGTGCAGTACGAACATTGTAACTCCCTTGTTTCTGTAAGTTATATAAAGTAACAGTGTGTGCTGTGCAACAGCTAAATCAGTGTCTTATTTCAGAATAGTGTGTAAACTACTGGATGAGATCTATGAGCACATCCATTGCCTGTACAAGCTGTCTGACATTGTATCCATGCTGGACATGCTGCTGTCATTTGCCCATGCTTGCACTCTCTCTGATTATGGTAGGTTTCTTCTTGGGTTTTGGTACAGGCCAGATAAAGACCCTCATGTTGGAGAACAACCAGGCTCTTTTGTCTGGTTCCATTTCTTTTTCTGGGTCTCAGTAGTCTTCAGCTGAGTACTCTGGTCTGTCTTTGCCAGTTTTGTGCTGATGTTCTTTCTGTTTCCATTCACTGAAATTAAATTCTGGCAGTTAGCTGCTGTAAGCCTTCACAGCCAGAAGGTAGCCAGTTTAAGCATACTCTATTCAAAAGCATGATGTCTGTGAACATTCTGAGTTTACTCTTCTTTCTGTTCTAAAGCCAGCAAGATAAGCAGATCAATGTTGAGTATATGCTGTAAAACAAAATATGTCTACCTTTGTTTCTCTGCTTCAATTTCTGTAACACTTTTAGACATTTTTAGAAGTAGAGTCTTCTGAGGAATCCAGGATTATGTGCTCACTTGCATATAGTTCATCCTGCTTTCCAAGCCCAGGTCTGTAATACATAAATGAGCATGTTGTCTTCCTTTAATGCTGACTTGACATACTTATCTATAGTTCAAGATGACGTAGATACTACATTAGGTCTGGAAGCCATCTCAGGAGATGTATTAGCTTATCATGCTGCTATGTAAGCTCCTGTTCACAGGCAGGATTTGTTTACTTCACAGTATGGACTGTGTTTCTTCATGTGCTGATAATTCAGTCATAGCACATGACCTGCTCTGTAACTGAACAGTAACTGATACGCTTGAGGCATCACAACTTTTTCGCAACAAGTGAATCAGAGCACAGGTTTTCTTCTTTGTCTGCCTGGGGTACCGCTCCCTCACAGAGAGTCTGTGATCCCTGTACTTCATATGCTTCTAGCAGTATAAAAATAAATTATGAAAAATAGTTTAGCTCTTTGTATTTTTCTTTATTACTGGAGTCCAACCCTACTAGCTAGAGAACGCCAACACAGAATGTTAATTTAGAAATGAAGTTTTAGTTATGGGTTTCTTTTTGTAGTATTAAATCATTAAAAGACTTGCATTACAATCAGTATCTATACCTGAAAGTGGCTGTTTAGTCTTGCTCACTACAGGAAAGTAAAAATTGGGACATCAGAACTGCAGAGTTTGACTTCTGCTCTGCAAGAATTAGCTTTATTTCAAAACATACTAGTTTAATAATGTAAAGGTTTCCATACTAACTCTGCAATGTTTTACATCTTTTTTCTCCTTTAGTTCGTCCAGAATTTACAGATACTTTAGCAATCAAGCAGGGATGGCATCCCATTCTTGAAAAGATAGCTATGGAAAAACCTGTGCCTAACAACACATATGTGACAGAGGGCAACAATTTTGTCATTATAACAGGACCAAATATGAGTGGAAAATCAACATACCTAAAACAGATTGCTCTCTGTCAAATTATGGCACAGATTGGTAAGAGTGTGCAGTATTAGTAATCTTTTGCAGCACTTTTTTTTTCTGGTTATAAAGTTGAATGATTTGGCTTCTAGAACCACCTGTTTTATTAAATAGTAATAGACAATTTGTAGCCCGTTTGCTCATACTAGCTCTTGTGTTGCTGACAGAAGCAACTGGAGGGTTTAGGGTCTGCCTTTGGAAACTTACAATGGCCCTATTTGTGTATCTGGAAGCCTCCCCAGTTCATCTTTAGAGAAGCACAGTTGTAAGCTCTAATTCTTTGGAACACCATAATCCAATCTAGTACCTTATGCTAGATTGATAGCGAGTGCCCTTGAAATATGTCAGTCAGACTGCACGTGTTAGACATCTGAAAGGAGCAGATGACCTCACTTATGCAGAGTATACCTCACTTATGCAGAGAAACACATTTCCAGACAAGAATACGTCATAGATAAATAATCAACTACTTCAAATAAAAGTAGTAATAAATACTGCAAGGTTCTGTTACTAAAATTATAAAAGTGAAACAACTATTTGTAAAGTTCAACTGAGACTCATCCCTGTATTCAGGAATTCCTCATGGCTTTGTTCTTAAAGGTAAGTCTGGCAGCACCTTAGCAGCCTGACTCTTCTAGTACGAAACTACTTAGCAGTGGAGAATAACATTTATCCATTATGTATTCATGGGTTCAGTCCCCAACAACTCTGAGTTCTTGAGGAATTGCTATCAAAAACATGAGTTTAATATGAACAAAGGAGACTGTAAAGTTTTCTGGCAGGTTTCTTCTTTTCTGTTTAGTAAAACTAATAGGCCTCAGAGTCTGATAAAGGCAATATAATAATCTTGTGTTTGGGAAGCTAAGATTTCCTGGGATTAGGAAATCAGTGGCTACAGAAATGTAAATTAATCCTGGTGTTTGTTCTCACTTTTCAATCCCTTTAGACTGACACACCACTCTATGCATGTGATTTCTTAAGGTTTCACTGACAAGCTTCTTTAATTATGGTATCTATGCAATAATATTTTTTCTTATAAAGTAATGGTAGAATGTAATCTTATGCAACTTTATCACGTCAGATGAATTTTCTACAGTGCATAAAAACCAAGTGTAAAACTAATCTTTTTCCCCCACTGACAAATGTCACACTGATGAGAGAAACTTGCATTTTCCTTGCTTTGCAGGTTCTTATGTCCCAGCAGAGTATTGTTCTTTTCGAATCGCAGAGCAGATTTTTACGAGAATAGGCATGGATGATGATATAGAAACAAATGCATCAACATTCATGAAGGAAATGAAAGAGGTATCAAATACAGCTCATCCAGAGTCCAAGGCCCATTTTTACTGTTAAGCTAATAGAAATTGTACTAGTGTATTTGCACTGAATGTAGTCTGAAAAGCAGTCAAAAATTCAGCTTTCAGCTCTTCGATGATAAACTACAGAAACCCAGGCATATCTTAAATCAGAAAATAATCCAGTGTGAGTAAAAACCAGTTCCCTGGTGGATAGTAGTTTGAACAGTTTTGGCTTTGCTTAGAGCTTAAATGATTATTTGCCAGAGCCTAAGCCCTCTCAATTCCCTCTCCCAAACTGACAAGATTTTGAGGGAAAGTGGTATGCTCAGTGGAAAAGAGAAAGAGTGCCGTAGTGTGTCTTTGACTAGAATTGACAGCACTTTGAAAAGGTAAAATTCATGTATCTGACAAGGTTTTTTAAAACTTCTTCATTGTTCCATCTGAACAACACAAGATATACCTATTTTTTAAAAATGCATTTATAGGAATGATAACACATCAAGTGTTTTCCTAGGTAACATACATCATACAAAATGCTAATGACAAATCGCTGATCATCATTGATGAACTTGGCAGAGGTACCAGTGCTGAAGAAGGAATTGGCATTTGTTATGCTACCTGTGAATACCTGTTGAATTTAAAGGTAATTCTGTTCTGAAAGAAATATAAACTTTGGAATTATTTTGCCATCCTGAAAGTAAATACAGTATTTTCTCATAATTTAACTTCGGTTTTGTAGAGATTTCTTGCCTAAATACGGTATTTTTGTAACTGGTGAATAGTAAGAATTCAACCTCAGTTTGCTGTTAGCTTTTTGAAGCAGGTGTTTGTTTCTCCTCAGAGTTTATTCAGAGTACTTCGTGGGTTTTGGTCTGAAAAGGTCAGATATTTTCTGTCGTTCCACTGTTGGTGAAGGATTCCTTGAGAGCATTGAGTAACCATTTGACAATCATTCAAATTAACACTAGTCAGATTTTGTAAGCATCATGGACTTCCCTTTTGCTTCTGTTACTGCTTTCTTTCTATTGAGAAAGGAACAGGAGAATCCCTGGTGGGAAAAGATACACTTGCCAATGGTAGAACTCATCGCTTAAATATTTGAATTCGCTTTAGGAATTTAAAGACAGCTTTTCAGTGTTTTGGAGGAAAACCTGGACACCTGGGAGATAATTTAATTTTTCTTATTTATTGTAATTTATTCCAGGATTGTTTCCAAAATAAACTTTCTTTCTTGTTTCCTTATTTAGGCATTTACACTGTTTGCTACACATTTCCTGGAACTGTGTCATATTGATGCTTTATATCCCAATGTGGAAAATTACCATTTTGAAGTGCAACATGTGAGATGCAGTGCTGGAAATAAGGAAAAAATTGCTTACACTTACACACTTTCTAAAGGATATACAGAGGAAAAGAACTATGGTAATGGATTCCACTATGACTTTAACTTGGTACAGATTATATAAGTTAGTATTTAAGTTACTAATCATGTAACAATAGTTTTGTGATGACAAGTTTCTGCTGAGTTTGTATCTGAAAGAGAGATACAGAGATCTGCAGATCTGTAATTTCTTCCAAATACTTGTGTGTTTTAAGTAACCGTGTACTGAGGTACTTTGGGGTAGTACGAAGAACTTACATGAAATTTCATGGTGGAAAAGTATTTTACTAATGTTGGTAGCTACTTGATTCATGTCTGTTTGAATGAGTTGAGCCATTCTGAGCACACAGGAGGTGAGTTCATTGAATCTGCACTTAGAGAAATGAATGAATGTTCTGGAGAGGCTTAAAGCTGTGAATGATGAGGTTTGTGTTATGTATCTGCCGTAAGTAATGATATGACTGTTAAATAGCAGCTTGGCCCTTTTTGATTAGCAAAAAAGGAATCAAGTTTCTTTAAAAAGGGACAGGAATTTTACTGAGTATCAGGCTAAGATAATTTTGAGAGGGTCCATGAAAGCTTCAGGGTTCTCAGAAAGGTGGATTTACCTTTACCTTCAGAATAAATCATACTGAAGATTGTACTAATTGATGGATTATAGGTCAACGAAGAAAAGAGTAAGTGACAATAAGGCATATACATTTTAGAGATTCACAGAAATCCATGTTTGCAAATACTACATTCTGATGTCAAATCCTTGATTTTGGTAGCATTTAATCAATAGGAAATTAGCTCACATGACTTTTGCAAGCCTAGTGGTAACTGAAGACTAGAAATTATTCTGGTCAAACTTCAGTTAACAGGACTTAAAACATTGTTTGATCAGAATGAATTTGTTTACCTTTGGCAGCACAAGCTCAATTTCAGATGATACACCACCACTAACCACTAACTCAGAAAAATTGTATGTTTAGAGAGTATTCTCAGAGGAGATCTTTAGAAACTCACTGTTGGTGTCTTGCCTTTACCTTACTTGAGCAAAGCTCCATTCTTTGTATGTAAGGACTCTCCTTTGAGTGTAAGGACTCTCCTTTACCTTTTTAATTTTCAACCCTACAGTATTAAAGCACCCAGTGAACCACAGACTTTCCTCAGAACATGTAGGGGCACAGGCAAAGGAAAACGTTATCGTGTTAGGGCAGAATATTTCACATCTCTCTTACCCTGAGTATCTGGCAGTTTGGCTGTTAGCCACGAAGTAGAGATTGGACCATGACATCCATACCCACTGGACGTCTGGAGAATGCATTTAGCACAACCTCAGTATTTCCTGGCTGCCAAATTAAAGAACTAAACCCAGAAAGCTGTTAACATCACTGTGACATCTCTTTCCCCTGTAACCCCTAATGTGTCTCATTGTACCCAGTTACAGTATCACCAGCTTCATTTGGAGGTGTATTTTTAGAGATAGCATTGCAACAACATTTTATTTTGTAACTCTGAAAACCGTGTTGTTTTCTAACAAAATGTACACTAAGAAAAAATATATCAAAATTATTTTAATAAAAATTAAATCTTCACCCTTTAAAAATAAGTTAATTCTGAAAGACATAGTGTGTAAGGTATGTAAAAAATTACATCAAAATCCTGATTTGTGTTTTGTATGTTTAGGACTAAAAGCTGCAGAAGTTTCCTCCCTACCATCATCCATAATTTTGGATGCAAAGGAAATCATAAATCACATTGCAAAACAAATTTTGGTATGTAGTATAAAATTATAATTCACAGGTTTTATAAGTCTCAAATGTTTTCAGTTTATGAAAGGATATAGGCTAAGCACCATCTATGGTTTTATAAAGATAGATTTAATTAAAATCTGTATTTCTGGAGCCAGTTAAAGAAGATTATATTGAAGGTCACTGTTAGGTGACAACACAGCACAGCCCTTAGGGTAAAGGAGTATTGGATGTAACATTTGTATACAAACCAGAACTGGGAGATCAAAAATAGGCTGGAAAACAGCTAATACTAGTATTTGAATAATAGAATGTAATTTATTTCACGTTTTAATTCGTGTCTATTTTTAAAAGCAGCACAGGCAGCAGAGCACTCCTGAGATGATGAAGCAGAGAGCTGTCTACCATTTAGCAATGAGATTGGTTCAGGTGGCCAGAAATTCCCGGCTGGACCCTGACAGTTTGCGCATGTATCTGAAAGGCCTGAAGAAAAAGTATGAAGCCAGTTGTCCTGCACTTGGAAAAACCTATGAGCAACAGTAATGTGCAACATAGGCTGTTGCCGTAATTTTTATCACTGCAAGATGATTCTGGGTTTTTTTCCCTGTACTACTAGAAAACACATCTTTACACATGGTTTAAAATTTTTAATTCTTAGTCTAAATTATATATCCTAATGGAAGAACCATATGGGCTTCATGGGTTTTTCCTCCAAACATACCTGAAATAAAAGCATTTATGTTTTATGCAGAATTCTTTCTGACAATACATTATATAATTTTCATTACAGACCAAAAAAATTGTGTAATATTTAGTCTTTTATACATGACATATCTGTTAGTACAGTTCTTGCATCTGATACCAAAGATCTTGCCTAACAAGAAGCATTCTTTGAAACAGATGATCCACTTGTCTTGCATAGGCAAGGTCTGCATCCAGAAATGCTGTTGTTCCCTACTCAATGAGGGTTCTAACTTGGTCATTACGTGTAATCCAACATAACATGGGTAGTCCAGGTCTACTGCCTCTCCAGAACTGGGCAGTCAGAGCTTTTTTGTAACAGAGTAACAGCAAATTCCTGTGGTATTGACACTGTTGATCAGTTTTTGTTTAGAAAGTGAGGAATAAAAAGTTGAATATTATTCTTCCTTGACTGGTTTTTTTTTTCAGTACAACTTCATTGAGTGACTGTAGCCATTTATTCCAGCTGGAAGGAGTTTATCTTTTCTCACTTCCTTCTAACCAACTGTTCTTTTATATATGTGTGTGTGTGTGTATACATCATTTATTGTGCATATATCTATAAAATAGGTAATATACAACAGTGCAATATCTAGTTTTAAAGAAGAAATAAATTTTTATATATATTTCCTTTTTATGTATCTACCTTTGTAAACATACCAGTGCAACAGAATAATTTGTGGTAGGCTCACTGTGGGTTTTTACCCAAGAGGATTTTTTCAGATGACTTAAGCTATTATCCACAATTCCCATCTCTTCAAGCCTGAAGTATTGCCCATTCTATCACTCATATCATCAGTAATACCATATTTATTGTCTATCCCCGTGAGGATCATGGCAGAAAAAGGTATTTTTGTGTTCAGGTTTCTTTACAAGAGGAACCAGTTGGCAAGTGATACGTGTTTGAGATGTTGACTGAAGAGAGTGCTGTGATCAGCCACCACAACTCTGGAAAGAACAGTTCTGGGGGTTCATGCCTGAGGTACTTTGACCCCATCAAAACCATCCCTTTGGCACCTTATTTCAGAGCCTTTGTGTTGCTTCCAGTCATACTCTGCACACTGCTCTCTTGAAACAGACTTTAAGTAAGGAGGTTTTATTTTCTTTTACTGACTAGGAGCAGGACCAGAACACAAAAAGGTAATATAGATACTTTCAGACTGGTTTTGCATCACCTGGTAACAGTCCTTAGTAGGCAAACTGTCTTGAATCTCAGGGTCGCTGTGAGCACTGTCCAGAGCTCCATGGTGGGGAAAAACCAAGGACCTTTAAGGACTGTACAGTGAACTTTACTGCCAATCTGAGAATGCTGACTGAAGCAAAGGGGTTCTCAGGAAGTTTGCAATGAGGGAATTGCAGGGCAGTAGAAAGCTCTGAGGACAAAAGAAGGCGTGTCCTCCCTCCACAACTGTGTGAATAGCCAGTTGGATTGCTTCTTTTTTAAATGCCCTTTTTCTTGATCCTGCAGTTCCTCACTCAGGGTGGTAATCTTGGTATCAAACACTAAGGAAGACGTTTTTAGCTTAGCCTGGTCAACAGCTGACAGTAAAAGTCACAATGCATGTGACATTGCCTAATGAAGCCCTGAAACTTCAACAGACCATTCATCTCTATGACAAGATTCCTATTTTGCATATTCTGTGAATATCTTATCCTAGAAAACTATACAATGTATTTCGTGTCTGCGTTAACTTTAGCTTTTTAATCTAGACTTTTTTCAAAACCAGGGCTGCTATCACTGTGTGTCTGTATGACAAAGGCTGCCTGACAGGAGAAATGTTACTTGGAGTGTGAGTTCAGGATCCAAAGCTAGCACAGAAAGACATGTCTGTATTTCCTCCTCCACAAGCTTCCTGGCAGCAGGAGGCCTGCAAAGGGATAAGGCAGTTCCTAAGCAGAAAAAGAAAAAAAAATCTTATAAACTGATAAGATGGTAGAACTCACTGCTACCCCTTTGGGTTTGAAAAACCAAGGCTAAATTTACTGCTCAAATTTGCTTTCCACTTGCCATACACATTTTCAACCTGTACTTCAGGCAGCAGAGATAGCCACCCAAGAGCTGCAATTTTGATACTAACAGAACTATATATTGATGTGTAATCATTGGGAAAAAAAACTCACTGAACAGACAATGTTGGCTTAGGCTACAATCCTGTGAATTAATTTGATACATGGCAAGGACTACTGTAACCATAATCAGCCTTTGAACCAACTTCAGTCACAGTAACAGAAGTGCCTTTTAGCACTTCAGAAGTAAAGGCTTGATGGCGCCGGGGCCGGGGCTAGGGTCGGAGCGCTCCGGTGCCGCGGCCGCTTTCCCAGGGCGG